ATTTATACTTGTTAGTATCATTAAAAATGTTGCTATTATAATTAAATTACTATATTTTTAAAAATTGTCATCATATAGATGTATTTCCATACCCTTATATTCATTCTATATGATAATATAAAACAAAACAATAAAAAAATTCTTCTGTTTTTACGATTATAAATGACCAGTCATTTTGACTGGTCTTGGTAGAAGTAGCATTGTTTTTTTTCCGGCAGATCTAGTGTTAAATGTCTATTATTTGAGCACTGACGTTAAGTAGTAAGAAATTTCATATAAAAATAAGAAAAGAATAGAACTAATTTTAAAGAATAACAATTACCCAACGAGTCTTATACACATGGTGTTTAGTAAGTACAAATTAGATAGAGATCAGAAGAAAGCAAATGAACTGAATAACAAAAGAATTATTAAGTTTCCGCTTATCAAACCTTTATCGAATAAAATAAAAAAATGTTTCAGAAATACTAATGTAAAACTAGTATTTTATAACTTAGTTAAAATAAATTCAATATTCACAAAACTAAAAGACAAGGTTGATAAACTAGAACAATCGAAMCTAGTTTACAAAATACCATGTGAATGTGACAAATGCTACATAGGAAAAACTAAACAAAAATTAAAACAAAGATTAGAACAACATAAGAATGATTGTAAACCTACAAATGCTCAAAAAAATAATACTACTGCGTTAGCCGAGCACTATTTTAAAAAAGGACACAAGTTCCAATTTAAAGAGACAGCCATTTTAAAAAGAGAAGACAATTGGTACAAAAGGAATATAAGCGACATGTACTATATAACAAATAACAATACAGTTAACTACAGAACAGACACGAATAATCTAAACAACATCTATAATGAAATTTTAAGATTTAATTATCATAACAGGACACACTGATAGAGGACATTATAATACGGAAGATACCTAGATTATTAAACACTAGTCTAGATAGAATTCAGTATATGATTACGTGTGACGAGATAAGGTGTTTTTAGGATAAAATTATATGGTAATATGTTAAGTTTTATTGTAATGTATGACTCTGGAAATAAGATAATATCTATTGACGCATAAACTAAGTGATCAAGGTAAAAAATTAGAGTTTATTTATTGTAATATCTATATTTTTTAACAAGTCATAATAAAAAAAAATTTTTAGTTGCTGAGGAAGTCCCCAGTAAGGGACGAAACGTTCAACAAGGTCGAAATATATTGTTCATCAGATTTATTAACTGTCTTTAATTCCCTTTGAAACCTATATATTAAAAGAAAACGTTTCTCAGCTTTTTTTATTTTGCATTTCTTTAGAAATTTTATGGTTTTTAACTACAATATAATCCAGAGAGTAACGAAAATTTGTTTCAAATATATTGAAAAATTTTTAGCGACAGTAAAAATGGGCTACTAGAAACTAAACAGAAAAGATGTCAGGTTTATTACAATCGAGTTTCGTTAAAAATTAAATAAACTCTTCACGTAAAGTAACAAAAAAAAATAATAAAAAATGATTTTTTCCCTTTTTTTTAACTTCAGTAGTCTAAATATAAATGATTTTTGCTAAATTTTTTCGGACTAAAAACTTTTTATTTGTCAGTATACGCTTTAAAGCTTGAAAGAACACGTTTAATAGCTTATGACAAATAGCAATTTTAAAGAAGTTTTATAGTTTTTAACAATAATTAAATTCGAAAAGTAGCAAAAATTTCTTTTCAATATATAAATAAATTTTTAGCGACGTTAAAAATGTGCATTTAGAAACTAAAAAAAATAGACGTTTGGTGGACAACAATCGAGTTTTGTCTTAAAAGAATTGAATGCTACTCGTGATGTAACCAAAAACGATTTTATAAAATGAGTATTTCTCTTTTTTTAGACTGCAGTTGTTGAAACATAAATGATATTTGCTAGATTTTGTTGGGCATAACACCTCTTGTTTGTTAGTAAACGCTTTAACACTTGAAAGATAACGTTTTATAGCTTTTTTTGTATAGAACTTTTTTAGATATTTTATAGTTTTTATCTACGATTTAATCCAGAAAGTAGCGAAAATTTCTTTTGAAATATATATCAAAAAACTTTTAGCGACAGTAAAAATGGGCTACTAGAAACTAAACAGAATTGATGTCAGGTTTATTACAATCGAGTTTTTTTTGAAACAAAATTG